TTTTTTTTGTACCTGGAATAGAACTCAGGACCTTGTGCTTCCCAGGCAGGTGTGGTGCCACTGAGCTGAATCCCCAGCCCTAGTAAGCACGTCTTTATAATGTGGAACTCTCCAATATATTAACTCTTGATATGAGCAGTAATCTCTGCCTGAAGACTCAGTCTTCTGATGAGCGTAGGCTAAATCTTTAATAAACTCTGTCCTGGATCCCAGTTGTTATTCTACTTTCTGAGTAGCCAGTGGAAACCTGTATCCTCCTGGAGCTGCTTTTCTGTCCATTGCTGCTCAAGGATCTCCTGGGGAAGAAAGTATTAGGATTATACATATGTTCTTGCATCTGTTTCATAGATGAAACATCTGTGTATACACACAAAGTATAAGAAAGTACTTTGCCTGCAGTTTATACAGATTTTCTACATCATCTATTAAGCCTGATTATAATACTATTGTCCTTGAATACTACTATAGCAATATCATTCATAAGTTAAATGTATTGTAGGATTGACATATCTTTATTAAACCATCCCAGAAAGTATAGATAGCATCATATATTGAATACATTTTAATGACTAATCTCTTAGTCTCCAAATGCACAGCCATTTGTGCTCCTATAAATTTGCTATGAAATTAATTTCCCTTTTAATCTTCTCTCCCCCACTGTACACTTCTGTGACTTTTTATCTCTCTATTGTCTTTCCCTTTCTGCTTTAGTTTCTGGTTTTGAGAGATGGGTGAATTCTCTTCCTTGAGATGATTGGGCAGACGTTTTCTGGGGGAACTAACTAGATCTGGCTCATCTCCCTTGTCCATCCCAAAGAACTGACTGCTCCATTATTTTGTCCTTTTACCCTTTCCCTTCTGCTTAAGTGATTTATATAATGTTAACTTTCTGTGAGTTCTTTTTGTGTAGAATTCTTATTAAACGTGTTGTTCATTATTCTTTAATATGATCCTTTAGGATGATATATAGTCTATTATTTACTAACACATCATGGCCCCACATTTAGCAACACTGGAAATGTGATTTAACCCTAACAAACAAAATGATGTAAATATTTTTCAAAGAGCAGCATTTCAAAGCATGTTTAATATTAAATTTCTTGCTATAATATATGCTGTTGTTTAAAAAATTTTAAAGTTATATTATTTGCCTTTTAGGGGTTAGATAAAGAGGAGACCCAAAGTAAGAAACAGATCAAAAAGAGTCCTTTATTAACTTCAGAAAAAAGGCTGCGTAGAGAGCCATCGAGATCACTGGACTTGAACAAAAATGAGTATCTTTCTCTGGACAAAAGCAGCAGCACTTCAGATTCAGTTGATGAAGGTAAATAATTTTTAAAATAAATTTTAATAAAATTTCAGGTATGCTTTAATGTTTATCTTTGCATTAGGTGCTCTGTGTGCAAATTGAGAATTTGTTTGCTTTAGATATAATCTCACCCTATAAAGAACCAGAAAAGGAGTGTAAGTTTACTATCTATTACTATATAGTGTATAGTATATACTAGAGTAGGAGAAAGTCTGCTAAATCTAAGCCATCTTCTTTCAAATCCTAGTATTTGGCAGTATGGAGATACCTCAAAGAACTAGGGCTAGAGGTCCCATTTGACCTAGCTATTCCCCTGCTGGGTATCTTCCCAAAAGAATTAAAAGAATCATACCACAGCGATATAGGTGCACCCAT